CAATCATAGCTAGCCACTTGTCAACATTTAATTAATAAAACAAACTATTTGCCATATTTACAAATTTGTAATGAGCATTCATAACAACATTATCTAAGTTAACTACATGAAATAGGCTAGCTATACAAAATGACATTATTATCAATAAAGTTATATCCTAAAGTTTTATCAATAATCTTCTATTTCCTCTTCTTCCTTTCTTGGGATCCTTCTAACAAGGATATGGATTCACACTCATTCACGTTGTTATGATGACTTAGTAAACACCATAAGAATTCTATCTCCTTCCTATAAAGGTCATCTTGTGCCACAAGTCAGTCTTATAAGGTACAACAACAAATATGGATTACATGAAAGAGTGAAAAGGTAAAATGAAAAATGCATACTTGGGAGTATTTTGGCATCATATACCCATTCTTGTTCGCAGTGTTGTCCCATAATTGTAACCATGTCATAATGTGCACCTTATAAGTATGGCTACAAACAAAATTAAAAAAATAATGTAGAATTCAGGTTTCACATGTAACTATAAGCTTAATGATATATAAATAGAAAACAAACTCACATATCAGTTTGTACATGAACTTTAGCTCATATAATGTCTATGTTAACATTATCCTCAAATAATTGTGGTTTGACTGCCCAAAGTAGAGAGTGAAAGCAATTCCTCTACACAAATGTTAGCAATGTTGATTTACAACTAGGCAGTAGGACAATGACAAATATAAATGTTAGCAATGTCGAGTGGCAAGTATAGACATACACATGCTATTGCCATTATTTCTTTAGGATCTAATTGTCCTTTCTTCTTCTTCTTCTTCTCCTCCTTTCCCTTGCCATTCTTCTCAGTATTCTCTTCTTCTTCCTCTTCTTGCTATCTCTGCCAATACTCCCTATTACTGAATAATGAATCTAAGACATAGAAGTTCTTGGTCCTAATCTCGAAGACATAGCAAAACTAATAACTAAGGAAAAGAGTTTGGCCAAAAGTAAAATCACAATCAGCAATGTTACATTCAACAAGCTCAGGAAATATTTCTCTCTTGTTATCATCTATCATCCATTTCAAAAGGTTGTTGATCATTTTTAGCATTAAATCAGAACTAAAAATATGTCTATAGACTTTCCCTTCATTCTCCTTTTGGTCACCTACTAAAGTCCAAGCAACAATTGACATGACCCTATCACTAATCCATCTCATTCTACTAAAACATTATAGCTCTACATGAGTCAAGTAGTAGCCATACAAATCTACAATGATCCTGTTGAAGAAAATAGAAAAAAATAGATTGTCAATAATATTTTAGTCACTTGGATTTTAGGTGTAGTATTGGGACTTACTTGTGTCCCTCATCTTCCTTACATGATGTTGTGCATATTTGAAATAATCACTCCTTGTTATTCATTATTTCTCTTCTTTCCAATGTTAATTCTAACTCGTAGAGATTTCACAATAGGTCTTTTATCTCTTTTTGATTTTCTAGGATGTTTACTTGATTGTTTTTCGCCTTTCCCTTCCTCCTCGTCATAATCTTTCCCTCTTGTAGCTTCTTCGTTGTTCTCTTCCTCTTTTAAATTGTCGTTTTCATCCTTTTCTTTCATCGGAACCTTTCCCTTCAGCATCTTCTTCTTTATCTTCTTCCCCTTCTAATTTTTCATCTTTATTCTTTTCCCAACACCTTTCCCTTCGGTAGCTTCTTCTTCATTGTCTTCCTCTTTTGATTGTTTAGCTCCATTTTTCTCCTCAAAACCTTTTCGTTCAACATCTTCTTCTTTATCTCCTTCCTCTTCTAATTTTTCATCTTCATTTTTTTCCTCAAAATTTATCCCTTCATCATCATCTTCTTTCTCTCCTGATTTTTCACCTTCTTCCTCTTTTGACCCTTGTTCGAGCAACATTGATTTCAAGTTCATTAGCTCCTCTCTAATATTAGACACAAAAGATAATACTTTTCCATATAACCTCCTTGCTTGAAAAATAATTTCTAACTCAGTGCATAAACAAGACCACATATATCTATTCATTATACTCCATTTTATGCATAGCAGGTGAGCAAATACTGGTTCTTGATACACCTTGGTAGATGAACTACCATCTACAGTAGTTAGTTCATGCAAGATGCCTCCATTGCTCTTTTTCTCTAACTTTACTCTTGCATTGACTTTATCATCGTCCCAATATTTCAGAGCATCTATAGCCTTTGGGCAACCTTGGCCAACTGAAAAATTTTGAAAGCCCCAAACCTGCATCTTTAACAAATTAGTGTAAACATAAAAATTTTATATAAAAAACTTTGAAAGGCTATCATTCTTTCATGATGTAAATTAAACACATACTTACTATTGGGAAGTAGATACATCTTCCAACATTCTTCCTCACCCTTCCCTTCCCTTTACTCAGCAATTTTTTATAGTCTTCTATTTCCTTGCAAAGTTCATTAAAAATAAATATAGTCCAATCATATGTGCTTGGTTTCTTCTGTGTCTCATAAATGACCTTCAATATACGGTCGCTCACCTTAAGACTTATGGTTGGCAATAACAAGGTTCCTAATGTGTACATTAGAAAAAGTAACTCAAACTTAGCTAGCTCATTTTCAGATGTAATCATTTTAGCTATTTCCTTATGAGTCCTTCTATAATAAGTATTTTTCAAATTCTTGAAAGCATTGTTATCAACATTGACATCTCCGGTGATCTGCTTACCCTCACTACATAAGCCCATCAAATCATTAACATTATTGGCCTTCATTTGCTTGATTTTCCCCCTTATGTATTTTTCATGAGTTGGGGGGTTAAATGCACGCATCAACTCTCTACAAATATCTCTTTGAATTTTTTTACAAGAGACATCAAATAGTCTATCGAATCCTAACTTCTTTACTCTTTTTCATAATTTCTCATTTCCCTTCATATATTTTGCTACTTTACTAAATTGACTAGGAGAGCAGTGCATAGGGAATGGAATAATATATTTCTTTATTGTTGTCTTTGCTTTCTCTTCCATCTTCTTTTATCTAGATAAAAAATAGAAAAGTTCAATTAGATATGTTGAAAATGGTTTACTAGTCAATGGAGCATATTGTTGTTGTCAATGGAGCTTATGGTTGTAGTCATTGGAGTAATTAGTTATCATTAATGGTGTAAATGGTTTTTGTCAATAAAGTATATGGTTGTTGTCAATAGAGTAAGCAGTTATTGTCAATGGAGAAATTCATAGAAATTTAAATTATAGATTTAAAATGTTGAGAATCTTATGTCCTTAAATTCTTAGTTTTGTCAACTTCTATTTGTATGGTGTAACAAAAGCGTCTTTTCTTTGATAAATTTCAATCATCATACATAAGATTGCTAAATAGTAGATAACAATGCTCTTGTTACCTAAAATCTCATATCCAAGAACAATAGATACCTAAGAAATAGGAACTTAGTGCACCAAACAATTCCCCGTATCTTCTAAAAGCTAAAAGGCTTGATCTAAGTAGGTTGGTTGTAAGTTTGCACCAGTAAAGATAACCATTTCATTTGTTGAAAACATTTCCCTATTGTTGGAGTCAAAGCATCTCCATCATAAATCAAGTAATCTCAAATTCTACACTGTACATAATTGGTGATGGAAGAAATTACAAACAATACTCAAGATAGCAAGAGGCTTCTCTTCACAGTTTGAGGACTAATTTGTTTTGTTGTATGCTTCATTGTGACTATATATTATATGTCTTTTATTAGTGAATTTTTTATCATTCAGAATGAATTATGAAAATACTTGATTGGGCATTTGATAAAACCAAATAAAGCATCACATTTCAACAGATCATTCATATGGGGCACTAACTAATAGTACTAGCAATCTTAACACAAAATAACTGCATCAATCATTTTCTGACAAGCATAAACATAAGTTATTTGTATCAAATGATAAAGAACCCTATGTAGATCCCCATGATACATGAGAAGGCACAAGCTTCCCACTATCATTTGGCCATCCCATTATCCATAGCATGTGTCTTGCTAATAAAGCTTGATAGTAGTATATTAGACATAAAGGCACATAACTCTCTCGATATACTTTTACAACCTGTTTCTCTCTGTACATACACATACCATAAATACCTCTATAGTTTTACCCAGGAGCCCACTGCTTGAACTCTTAAAAGATGATAAAAGCACTTAATTTCTTTGTCCTCAAAGAAAAATTAAAAACTAAGATCCAAAATGATAAAAAGATTTAGCAAAATAATTTCTAAATTTTTGACATTTAAGCAGACATTTACAATACTCGAATCTAAGGTTGGTCAAAGAAAGGGTTTAGCTAATAAAAATTTACCTTAGGGGTCAGAATTGGTTGAACACTCAAACTCGAAGGCGAAATGAGAATTCTCAGACATGATAGCTTGTATGATGTGTGAAAACTTAGTGGCTGAAATGAATCATCATCACTGTTGAGCTATTGACCAACAAACCAAGACCCACAAGACGGAGGCAATGCAATTTAGAGAAGGGTGGTCAGCAATGAAACTTGGGAGAGGCGAGAAACAAAAATAGAGATTCGTCTGCCGTGGATTTGAGCTTTCGGTGGGTCAGTGGAAATCACTGTCACAATCGACTGATGAAGCATCACACACAAGATGGAGGGAATGTGACTAAGAGAACAATGGTCGACGATGAACTTTGAGAGAGGTGAGAAAGAGGAACTGTTCACCATGGGTTTGAGCTTTCATGGGTTAGTAGGAAACATTATGATTTTCAAGTAGTTCAAATACAGGGCAAATCGGTAATTTTATTTTCACACTTATTCACATTTAAGTTCTTGAGAATCTGATAGCTATTTGATAAATTCATGAGATTTTTGTATATTTTAAGTGATTCTATGGGATTTTAAAGTGGTTTTTTAAAATAAAATTAATTGAGTCAACTAAATAAACGAGGGAAATAATCGATTCGCGAATTTCTTTAATTTCCCCGTTGATTAAATACCCCACATCTCCCTCCAACGCCTCCATAAGTTGCTTTTCAACCTCCGAGCGTGAAATCAGAGCAGCCGTCGAGCTTTACAGGTCGAACGACGACAGAGTGATGCAGGGAGCCGCAGCCGACGGAGAGGCGGTGGACTTCGAGCCTGAGGACGATGACTTGATGGACGAAGATGGCGGCGCCGACGCCGACGCCTCTGCATCTCCCCATGCTCCTCCTCTCCCGAAGCTCAAATCAGCCATCACTGGTGGCGCTACTTCCTCACTTGCCGGCCCTAAGAAAACCAAAGGCCGGGGCTTTCGTCAGGAAACCGATGCCAATCGTAACACCGGCCTTTCTGGGTCCGATTTCGACTCCCTCGCCGCCGAGGGTGGGCCCGGTCCTCAGCGATGTGAGTTTCTTTTTCCCTTTGATATTTCCCTAGCTCCGAACGTTTATATATATATATATATATATGAATCCTTCAGTGGTCTGTGCGTTTTGTTTCGTAACTTTCTGTACGAACATGTTTTGGATTAGGGTTTTTGTTTCAATTGTGGTTTTGGCATTGCACTCTTGAATGGGAAAGAGATGTGCATTTTAGGGACTTTCTTTATTGGGGTAATAGAGAGAACTGGGCCGATAGAGTTGTGCACAATTTGAAATTGGCAATGCTTGTACCATAGCTTTATATAGTCCGGCGTGATAAAATGTTTTTGGTACGTTGATATGTGATCCAAACACACGAATTTGAGTTGTGAAACAGTAAAGTTGGATGAAACGAATGTGTTGATTTATCTTTAGTTTTAACTTCAGCTAACCTGTCTAGGACCAATATAAAGAGCTTAAAGTGATATGAACATTTTTTCCTTCTGTTGGATGGGTCTCTTCTATATAAAACAGTATGGTTTGTTACTGATGTTGTATCTCAGCATACAAGGATGGTGATGCAGAAGGCGAGAGTGTGAAACAAAATAAACGGTAGAAAATTGCATAAAAGACTGAAGATCCGAGAGAACAATGAGTCATAGGTTAAGAAACTCACCTAGCCGTTATCTACGATTTTTTTCGTCTCTTCTAAATCTTCTACATCTAGCCATGTGATTCCACTTGATGCTACGGCAGAGTTTGAAACAGAATGAACAGTAGAAAAATCTTGTAAGAGTATATGGGGGAGAACAGCGAGTTCTAGGTCAAGAAGTTCTACAAAATTCACTTAGTCATCATCTTTCGTTGAAATCATGTTAAGAACCGTTCTTATAGCGCCTATTGCTCTCTCTTCTGATATGTAGGTCATGGGTCACCCTTCGGAACCATTTTGTAAAGGTCGCTCATTTTTCCTGCAATGTCTGGGAAACACTTCCCTTTCTTATCAAGTTTGAACTTTTTTGTAGCTTCTTTGAGTGTGGCTTCTCAGTTTTGAGCAAGCTTTTTTTTTTCCCCCCTTTTTTTGGTTCCTACTTCCCAGGACATCATAGGACTAAGGAGAGAAACCTTTTTTGGCGGTGTGCTGTCTAAGCTGGGTTATGACATGGTTGACCGTGATTATATGATTACCTTATGAGAACTCTGCTTTGCCTGTAGATTTGTAATTAAACATTGTTTTTCACGGTAACATTTTATTCTTGGCTAAATGTTACAAGGGAATGTGCGTGCTGAGAGATTGAATTGGTTCATTGTATTGATGAGCCTACTATTTATTACACTGAGAAAGGGGGGATATCTCACATACATAAACTATCACACTCTTAGCAGGCTTTTTGTAATCATGAAACTAATTCGCATCCATTCATATTTAGATGTAGTACTTATTTGACTTCTAACATATTTTTAGAGTTCCTAAAATTATTCTGGTTTTCATTGCTTTCCAAGACCATTTTGAACTATTTATTTTCTGATCGAAACATTATTTCAGTCTTATTTTCTTGTGGGAATGTTGTATGCAGCCATTGAAGGATGGATTATATTGGTCACGGGAGTGCATGAGGAAGCACAGGAGGATGATCTCCAAAATGCATTTGGTGAATATGGAGAGATTAAAAATCTACATTTGAATCTTGACCGTCGCACTGGATTTGTGAAAGTAAGTAATGAATTTTATCTTGTCAACTTTATATTGCAATGTTTTTAATCTAATATTTAAATGTTTATTCCAGACGTGATGCATTAGGCTTCACCTTTTGGTTAATAATTTAGAAGCTAGGAAGGAGAAAATGATGGTGTTGGCTAATTGATTATCTGTGTACACCACTCACTAATGAAATGGCTAAACAATATTTTCTTTAATTTTGGAAATGCTTAATAATTACTGCAATGATCTCTTATGGGTTATAAGGAAGAAAGTATGGGGGCAATATTGTAATTTTATGCTCTTATCTAGTCATGTGAATTACTATAGAATATAATTGGCATGTGTCTAAGTCTTCTAGGTTTAGTGCTGGTTGAAGCACTATTTTTGGTGTTGCTTTCTTCTGTTTATTCACATCTCTTTTCCCCCTCTCTTTACTTAATTACTATGAAGAGGATTCATGCATGTTTTGAATTTTGTGCCAGCTACAGATGTCTATTGAATATACAGTATTGTTTGACATTTGAATCGGTTAGATGAACAGAGAATTGGCCAATTCTAGTCGTGTAGTTGCTATCATTGTTTTTGTTAGTAACTTGATCACTTGAATGGTTTGATTTTTGTGTGGATATCAATTCCTGATTATTTTGATTTTAGGGTTATGCACTGATTGAATATGAGCACGCTGAAGAAGCCCGGAATGCAATAGAGAATTTGAATGGATCTGAGCTTCTTACTCAAACCATTTATGTGGACTGGGCTTTCAGCAGTGGACCTATTAATGGGCCAATGAGAAGAAAGAATGCTAGGTACGTATTGTTGATTTTTGAACATTGGTAGTTTATGTTGTTTGATAGTACAAGGGCATTAATTAATAGTTTTATACTATTTGCATTTCTTGAATTTAAAATGTACAGAATTATGTATCATGATCTATACAATATTGTTTCTGAGTTGACTTGTATTTTGGTTGAAATTACTCACATCTGGTCATATTTAATTTTAAGAGCTAAAAAGGGGGTATTTATGTTTACATCTCTTCTGGCAATGCTGCAAAGAATTTGTGTCATTTTACCTTGTTCAAATTATTTGAGTCACCCATAAACGAACCAAGAAAGTATCGTTTGGAATGAGTGTCCCAAATGTATAAAATAGAATGCTGTAGATGTTTAATTTGCTGGAAAAATGGATCTTGGGCTTTATCAAACTTGCATTTAAAGCTGCATGTTCATTTTTGGGACATGTATTTTGTTTGTCTTGTGAAAACACTTGTTTTGGATGTCATTGTGCCATGCCATGTCCATGATGAGACTTGCAATGAAATGAGCATAGAAGGTTTGAATGTTTGCTCCATTTTAGAATTTGTGGTAGGAACAAGGGTAAACAAGGAAAATAATCTGCTAATTTTCTCTAAGCAAGTATCTCACTCAAAGAAAATAATAGCCAAGTCAAGGAGAATCTCCAGAGACTGAAAAGAAACTTGATTAATTCTGAATAATCCTTCAGACGAGCAGCCATATAAGTAAGCTGAAAAATAACTGAAAACTCTATAAAACTACTTACTTCCCTGAATTTCAGACTTAGTGGACAAAACTGACTCAAACAGACTCACAAGAGACTTGATAATGTTTATTGGAAATAATAACTACCTCCTAAATTCTAGGACACATTCAACAGGTTCCTGAATCGAAAGAAACAACTAAAATCATAAAAAACAGAAATATTTTAACTAAGTCAGTCACATTTCCTCTTCTTTCTACTGTACGTGAGTAGAGGTGGCCTATCAATTTGACATTAGTTTTTTTTTTTTTTTTGGCCCCCATGTTTAGCATATCAACAACACTATCTTTTTTTGTCCCACTAGCTGCATTCGCCTGAATGATTAAATCAATGATTTTTGCTGTATGATTGGTTGCGGGTCTTAGTATAACTCTCGACTAATAGGATGAGTCATCCTCTTTTATTTATACTCCACTTTCTGTGGTAGATTTAGTCTTTCTATTCTTGAAAATGAGGTGGCTGGCTTAAGAAGGTGGTCTTTTTATAGGCTGCAGGGACACGTAATTCCATTGTAACTTCAAAAACCTTTATTCTGTCTTTGCTGTCTAATGCTAGAAGCTGTATTTGTTATTTTTAAATTTTCATGACCTTTTGAGTTAGTGTTCTGTGGAGGAAACTCGCCGTATGAAGCAATAAAAGATGGGCAGAACATTGCTGAGCAAGAAAATAGGGAAATTATCTGCATTTTCGAATTTGTTACTCTTAAGCTTTGCCTTCATGGTATTTTGATTGAAAAAGAAAAGTGACCTTTTCTATTGTTGTAGCTTACTACCTATTGTCCTCCCATAAAACGTTAAAGATCATGCCTTTAGCACAAATATTGTAGATGTCAATGATAACTTATGGTTTTGCTTTGTTGCATTGTGTGTCTGGAGCATAATAGATCAGAAATGCTGGCTTCTATGTCTCACGTTCATGCTCATATATTATTAATTTTTTGAGGATATTAGAGAAACACATGATTTACCATGTGCATAGTCACTGATGGGTGAGAGGGAGATAAAGAAGCATAATTTTTATACATTTCTCAAAAGGAAAAAAATTTATATATTTAGCCTTTTAAGGTGATCGTTTCTAATTAAATTAGGACATGTCTCTCTTTCATAGATTATTTATTCTATAACAATTTTTTGTTGTTAATATTATTAACACATTAAAGTCTACATGTCTTAATTTGATTGGATAAAATTATAGTTCGTGTATGAACTGTGTCAACATTACTTTCCACCATTCCTCTTTCAGCTTTGACTTTCCATCCTAGTTTGATTATAAATTCTAGTTCCGTGTTCTTGATCCTCTTGTTAGAACTTATGGCATTTGAAATTCTTAACCTACTGGGATAAAGACTTATTGTTGTTGTTGTATGTCTGTGCAGACCGACACGGGAACGACGCTCAAGGAGTCCTCGGAGGAGATATTGACTTGGTGTGCAGTGTTTGGATGATTTTTGCAGGCCTTAATGAGCAAAGTTGGTTTATTTTCGGTCAATTCGTGACAGATTTTCCTGATACTTGTTCTACTTTTGAGTTAATATCTTTGTTGGTGGTTGCGAATTTGTCTTTCAAGCGTCCTTTACCGGATTGCTCGAGCTCATCTTAGTCTATGGTGGATCATGTATAACATTCCAGGATTACAATGTAGTGATGTGTTCTGGTGGTGGTTATTATTATTGTTATATGCAATGATATTATGCTTCAGGAATTTCGTTAGTTTTCATGGCTAGAATGACACCATTTTGTGGAAAAGAAGAAAATTTCCTGCATATGTTAAAATACAGATATTTGTCGAAAAGAAGAAAATCTCTTGTACTTTAGACTTTGTAGCCTAAATTATAGGTTTACTCATATGGGATGAACTGGGAATTCAGGCATGGCCTAAATAAGTCCGACTTGAATAGGCCCGAATTGAAATGGGCCCAGTTTCCTGAAAAGCCTGCATAGTCAAATCCGGCTCAAATTCTTTTGGGCGGCTTGAATATTTGAATTTTATTTTAAAAATCATTTTTAATTAATTTTTTAACTTTAAAATTAATTATTTTTTATAAAAAATATAAAATATTTTTTTTGATACTTAAAAGATGTATAGGATTCTAATTTATGATATTTTAATATAAAATGATTTAAAACTTAAAAAATTAATTAATATTTATTATATCATATGTTTTTTAAAAATAAATTTTTTATTTGGGTGTTCAGGTCAAGTTCGATCACGATCAAGTTTGACCTGAATATTTTTGGGTATAGTCCGAAGGGGTCTAAATATAAAAAAATTATAATTTTTCAATGTTTGCTTTAAATTTTTTTAGACAGGTTCAGACTAGCCAATCAAATTCAGCTTGAATTACTATCTCTAATATGGGTTATGTATTTTTTTTGGTTGGAAAAAATTTATGTATTTAATTTTATATATTTAATATACTGGTTTTTAATTAAATCATGACCTGTAATATTAAATTTTTGTTATTAATATTATTAATATATTAAAATTTATTTTTTTAATTTGATTGAATAAAAATACATTAAATATTTAAAGTTAAGTATTTCAGTTGTCTATTTTTTTTTAATTTACTTTTGTTTTTGACTAGAAAAGAATTGATAAACATTTACTATTTTATGTTTAAGGAGTTAGGTCATGTGGCTTATGGAACTGTTCAAATGGGATATATCGCCCACGAATTTGATTTTAGATTTTGATTGTTTTTCTTAAAAAAAAATTGGGGGTTAGTGACTGAGTGGGCTATTTAAGTACGTACATAGTTTGGATAAGGTAAAAAAAAATATATATGAACTCATAAAAATGGGTTGGTTGGGCTGATTCTAACTCTTATGGGCCACCTTGTAAGATCAGGTAGGCTTGAATGTTAGGAAAAAAAACAGAAGCTAATGACAAAAACATTTCTCTTGTTTGTGTTTATCTATCTCTATCAAGAACTTTTGGTTCTCTTGTTTTTTCCTTTTTTGCACCAAATCATGTGAAGATGAAGCTAGCTGCATATTCATACAGTTGTATTATTGGATTGTGGACCTCTGTTACATCAAGATAGTGGCAATGAGTTTTTCCGGTAAAAAGAGCACTAGTGAATTTCTTCGATCACATAGCAACTTGAACATGTCTTTGAACTTTTTTTTTTTTTCAAATATATATTTCTGTTTTTGTTTCTTTTGTTGTTTGCATTTGTTTGTGGCCCATTCTACTTTAGGAATGAGTCTTTATTTGTAATAGACTAATGATTTTTAATAAATTGTACATTTAAAAAAAATGCTATGTATTCATGATAAATAAAAAAAATAAAATTATCCATATATTTAATATTAATAAAATGTAATGTTATAAATTAAATTAAAAATATCTGGTAACAAATTTTCGTTTTATTATTATAAGCAATCCTTTTTGTATAATTGTTGACCCAATGGAAAAAAATGACATATTGTTGGGAATAACAAAATAAAATTATTCAAATAATTAATTTTAATGTTAATATATCAAATAAATTCTCTGACTTCCTTTATATTTTATCTTAATTATAGATATACTTTTTTATTTTTAAAACATATATGAACATCCCTTTTTACAAGTAATTACAAAATATAAATATTTTCACCATTTCTAAGATTACATTTCAATCGACCTGGCCATAGATGATTTTTAAGTCATATATATTGGATTAAAATGCCATTTCTTTAAATATGAATGTTTTAAAATCATTCAAACTACCAGAAAAAGTAACGCACATATATTTTTTACTTTTTTTATTGATACTTTAAATTTTTTAGCAGCGCAAACTTATTTATTAACATTTTCTAAAATTTAAATACATAAATTTGGAAAATTAATATTTTAAACAGCAGTTTAAGAAAACTTATTGATATAAGAATTTAATATAATAAATTATTCAATATAATTTATATTTATTTTTTGATTTTATTAATTTTAACCCAAAAATTTAAATTATTTAGGAGAAGTAAGTATTTTAGAATATTTAATATAATATTTTTAAATTATCAATAATTAGATTAAAGAGTATGTTTTAAAAATAGAGAGAAAATATATTTAATTTAAGCAAAATAAGAGGGATGTTACTGTATTTTAGTCTAATATTGATAAAATACGGGGATAGAAATTAAATTTAAACTACTTAAGCTGATAAAAAAAATAAACTATTTAAATATTAATTTCTACAAAGAACGACGTAATTTTCTTTTTAAAATTTAATGAGCAACCTTGCATATAAATTTCGACCCAATGAAGGGGGAAAAAAAAGAAAAGGGCGGGGGGGGCATTAGTTAAAATATTTTCCATATCGTTATCTTAGAGATCATTTATCATCGTATTGAGATTGCGGGCACTCAGTCTCAGAAGTCATTGTTTAGATTTCACCTTCACCTTCTCTGCTCTTGCTGTGCCTGAAATGGAGGCTCTCTCTTGCTCTGCACTCACGTTTACGAGGCCTTCTGATCTAGCAAGTCACTGTTCTGGCCGGTCGTTTTCTGTACTTCGGTTGGCTTTACCTTCAGCTTTCTCCAAATGTCGCAGAAGACATCCCGTTGGTGTACTCAAGGCCTCCATTGCCGTTGAGCAACAAAATCAGGAGACTAAGATTGCTCTCATCAGAATTGGTACAAGAGGAAGGTATAATTTTTGCTGTGTTTTTTGCGTGTACTAGTTTTGGCATGTTTTTGTGTTAATTTCAAAGGGGTTAAGGTCTTATGTGGGGTTTGAGTCTTCGATTCTGTTGGTTTAGTAGCTGTGCGTTTACTTCTTCGTATTATTGAGTTTATTCCTTTGTCATTATGAAAAAGAAGTGTAGAAAGGAACGGAAACGACTTAACGGCCTTTTTCTTATGATAAGATATGATAGAAGTACAATTAGGTTGGCTGAAGAAAACGGCGATCCTATTTTCTTTTCTTCACTTCTTCCGTTTTTTTTTTTTTTTTTGGTTTTTGGATCAAAATCTACTGCAGTTGTACTATTGTAGCACTAGATCACACACCTGTGGTCAACTTCCGACATGAATTGGTTGACTCCTCTAGCAGCTTGAGAAATTGTTGTTTAAGCTTTATTTGTTGTCCTCATGCCATTGTGCAAATATGCTATATTTTGTGATTCAAAATATGAAGATATGGTGGAGTATTAAATAGCTTGATAGATTTTGAATTTTCTGATCGTAATGAAGAAAAAAATGCAGAACAACAATCGTCATATGGAAAAACGTTTCAGACTTGTGTCATATTAACATATGCCATCAAATTTACATCCTCTCTTCTGAGTGAGACCGCCTTTGGAAATATTGTTAAACTTAGGATTGGGATTGCCCCTTGTTTTAACTGTAAAGTTGTTTTGGATGTTAATAATTATGGAAGAAATGTTCCTTTTGTTTTGTATGAATTTGTAGAAGTCAATAGAAGCATTGTTGGCAAGATGTAAGGTTATAAAAAAAATGGTATATTGATACTCAGAAGACTGGAACATTTGATTGCTGTACCTTGCCTTGTATGTGTACCTGACAGCACCCACAACCACCCATATCCCTCGTCAACCTCCCCAGAAAGAAAAACCAGTCACAAAAAAATTAGCTAGTTGATGCAATGCCTGTAATCCTCTTAATTTAAAACATTGAGTTGACTTCATACCTTTTCCAAGCTTTCTATGTTAAAAGTAATTTTTTGAAGGAAATACAATCTGATTTGTGTTCTAGGCGGAAGGTTAAGTTGCATTTATTTCTTGTTGAGTTGTTACTGGCTAGATGACTATGTATACCTTAGTTATTGGTTTAACTAATATTTTTGGGTTCCTATTTTATTTTGGGTTATTCATGTGTGTTATGTGTGTAGAGCAGTCCTCTAGCTTTAGCTCAGGCATATGAGACCAGAGACAAACTCATGGCAATACATTCAGAGCTAGCTGAAGAGGGGGCCATTCAGATTGTGGTAATTAAAACAACTGGTGATAAAATACTATCACAACCACTTGCAGACATAGGTGGGAAGGGCTTATTCACCAAAGAAATAGATGAGGCTCTCATAAATGGTGAAATTGACATTGCTGTCCACTCAATGAAGGACGTTCCTACATACTTGCCTGATAAGACTATTCTTCCCTGCAACCTTCAACGAGAGGATGTCAGGGATGCTTTTATATCCTTGAGTGCATCTTCACTGGCTGATTTACCTGCTGGAAGTGTTGTTGGTACTGCTTCCCTCAGACGGAAGTCACAGATACTCCATCGATATCCATCCCTAAATGTAAGTTGATGCTGTCATTGTTGTTGCACTGGACAATGAGATCCAGTCACATCGTACTTGTATGTTTCTTATTGAACTATTCGTGTCTATTCTTGTTAACTCACGATTATTGGTGTATCTTGAAACCATAAACAATTATATTTATACTTTTATAAAATAATGGGGGATCAAATATTTAGAAGACTTGAGATTACCTTAACTGGTAGCTGAAGGTTATCTGACCGTTATATTTTGTATACTCAATTTTTGTATAACTTTTGTACTATGTTATCTTACTTTCAGCATATTATTATTTCCATTACATTAAGTATGCCTCGGGAAGGGGTAAGGGGTCATCGTCTCTTACCATGAAAATCTTAATGTAAAAATTGAGTATCTGTGCTATGATAACATGTCAGAACAGACAGAATCTTTTGGAGAAAGTAATATTTTCAGTAAGAGGAGAGGCTGTAGGTCGGAGCATTGATTGCCTTTTGTTCAACACTTTTATTTATGATAGGGGAAAACAATTGCATTGGTGTAGTGTAGCTACCAATCAGTCATCCTTCAATGTTCCTCCCAAGTATTAGTGATCAATCACTTAACAATGTGCCCTAATTTCCAGCATTCAAAAGCTTGCAAGCTTGCAACATTATTCTGAGCAGCTGTGATTTTTATTTCTAATCTGACTTTGCTACAAATTTTCATCTTGCAAATTAACATAAAGGAAACTGTAAAATGATCATTGTGCCTCTTTCTTTTGGGTTAAACCTTTTGCCCCTTCTTTGAAACTAATAAAAAGAGGTAGAAACTGCTGAATTATTAAAATGAAATAATAGATATTGTATTGGAGTGAGGGGATGAGAAACTTATTCCCTCATCAAATAAACCAAACAGGGCTTTAAGTATGGGTGTTAAAGAAATATGGACTGTTTATTATCCTACTTCCATGTGCGCGCCCACTCACACACACACACACAGTGTTTTTACATGTTAGTATAATCTTTAAGGACGACTAAAAGTACTCAAATTTTGACAAGAGTTATATTTTGATTATAACTGTTTTTATTTGGGGAGGCAGGGTTGCATAAGATGTCCGGGCATAATTTTCATCTTCTTTATTTTGCCATGTGACTGACACAAGCTAGACAGCTTCTGAATCTAATCATGGTCAAACACTATATTTCTTTTTAAAACATTAATGATACAATCTGGTGTGGTTGGTAGTAACAGAATCATGTTGATATTAGTTAGTTTACCTCTTTCATCATCGTTTATTGAATGGATGTGACTGAAGAATCATAGACAATGTTATCCTTCAGAGTCTCATTTTCTGACCATGGGGGTTGCTAAATCTTGCCTTATTTAGTCATTATGTATATTTCCTATCTCTCCTATCTGTGTGAATTTTATTATCTTCCACAAAACAGTGCCTTTCCTGTTGGTCATGTATTGTTCTTGAGCGTGCTTCTAGAATTAAAACTTTTTAACTATCATAACTCATTATAATTTCAATCTCAGGTGCTAGAAAATTTCCGTGGCAATGTCCAAACAAGATTAAGAAAGCTCAATGAGGGGGTTGTCCAAGCTACATTATTGGCATTAGCTGGACTCAAACGCCTAAATATGACAGAAAACGTGACGTCAACCCTATCAGTTGATGACATGCTTCCAGCTGTTGCCCAAGGTGCAATTGGAATAGCCTGTAGAAGTGATGATGATAAAATGGTGAGTTTTTTGTTTTTAAACAAGATAGAAATTATTATATTGCATATTATTGCCACACGTATTTGTGCTGGTTGGGACTTAGAAGTGCTTGGGGACAGTTTGAACTATATTATAAAATGCCATCCGAGGAACTTTGCCCTTGTGCTATTATCTGAAGAGTCTTGATAAGATATATAAATTGCTTACAGATTTAAAATGATCACAGCTTACAAACAAGGCACGTCCTAGTTACGTCTACGTATGCATTGATAAACAAGAATTATGAGAGTTTTAACCATTAGGTGATTTATTTAATTAGACATTTTGATGTAATTAAATACTAAAATTTAATATTGAGACGTGGAATTTATTGTTAGAGATTCTGTAACCAGGATTTAATTCCATTTTACTAAATTCCTTACTGCTGAAGAATATACCTCCAATTTACAGTTAAATAACTAATTCAGTTAAATTTTATCTCAAGCTCAACATACAATTTAATAATACCTCCAAAATTACTGAGACGTGTCTTTTTTTTTTTTTATTGCTTCTCTGATTGTTCTCTAATTAAAATGACTTTCTGAAATTTTTAAATTGAAAGTTTGTATTTAATATTCAGATTGCATATTTTGCTAAATGTATTTAATTTATTTGTCTTATCAGTTTGTTTCTTTTAGTTTTATATTTGCTTACTCCACCTGGGAATATAATTTCATTTCAAGTTTTGGAAGATTTGAAGTTTTCTTCTGTCGGCCGGTTTCTTCTTCAGGCAGAATACCTTGCTTCATTAAATCATGAAGAAACAAGGCTGGCAGTTGCTTGTGAAAGGGCATTCCTTGAGACTCTTGATGGGTCTTGCCGGACTCCCATTGCTGGATATGCTTTCAGAAATGAGGATGGTGATTGTTTATTTAGAGGATTAGTTGCTTCTCCTGATGGAACTCGCGGTATGAACAAGTTGTTACAGATCATTTAATGCTTGAGAATGCAATCTTAGTTCCTCTAGTTCTATAAAACTTGCAATTTGATCTCCCCTATATTGCCTTTCCTTTTTAAGATGATCCAATATTCCTCTTCCATCACACGATCCATTTAAAATTTAATTTAGAAAGTAAATCGAACTTTATTTACTTACTTTGCACCATTAATGAACATTTAACTTTGGCTTTCCAGTTATGAGATTTTTTTTTGATTTGCTGTTAAATATTACATGGAGATGTGACACTGGAGCGACATTGGATTGTGTTACTGCTTTTTTTTTTTTTTTAATAGAAGTAGAAGGACCAAATCAAAACATGTATGAAACTAAAACAAAAATAATATATATTAGTATATCACCGTTATTTAGTGAGACTTTCATCTTCTTACTTCTAATCCTTCACAACAACTTATACTGTTCACTAAACTTGGCCTCTGATTCTCTTCATGTAGTTCTTGAGACGTCAAGGACTGGTCCATACGCCGTTGAAGATATGGTCAAGATGGGCAAGGATGCTGGGAAGGAGCTTCTTTCCCGGGCTGGTCCTGGTTTTTTCAATAGTTAATCACTTGGTTTAAAAGATGACCAAGTACAGAGATTTCTATGTCAGGTTTTGGGTGACTGCATGCCAAGTTAATTAATTCTTTGACCAGTTGTAGCTTAAAAAATGATTTATTTTCAACTGAGTATGCAAAAGTGAACCTCTCATAAGGTTCCTTTTTTTTGGAGGGGGGGGGGGCATTCCATGAATTGGTTCAAACTGTTGTATTTGTAGGAGATTGGAAATCCAAATTTTGTAATGTGAATAATTCTCTTCTGCCAACGTGTTTATTCAATCACATACTAAACTTGAGATTGTATTTCTATGCACTGGCCCTGGTTTTGGTTTTGTTTTTTGTTTTTCCCCGTATATTTGTACTGTGACTGCTATGGGGCTGTCAGGAGTGAATTATGAAAAAGATTGTCTTCTAGTCAATCTCTCATGGACTCTTTCATGGCAAGGCGGGCAACTATTTTTTTTTTTCTTTTGACAAAAGGAAAAACGTTTAGGTGAGTTGGGTTTTAAGACTTATAAGGAGTAAGGTATTCAAATTTAAAAAATACTTGTAGAAATATTTATAAATCGTCTACTAACACAATTTTCATCTCAATAATAGGATTTAATTATATGATTTTGTAAGCTATGGTTTAAATTTTTACTAATAAGTTGCATGTGAGTAAAAATATTTTAGATGTATAAGCTCTAAAATTTGAAATGTTGTAGTGTATTTTAGTAGGGCAAGGGGGAATGGGGTAAAAAGACTGAGAGATTCCAAGCCCATATGAACAAAGCCCCTATTTGGTATCTCTATGCTTGACGGTTGGCAGATCAAATTCATTTACGGTCTGAAAAATAATCAAGTTTCAAATATTTCCTAGAAATTTGAAATTTGGAAAAGCTCCTCCCCCTCCCCTCCTCCATTACACACACACGCTCTCATCCTCACACGCACATTCTTTCTCATGCACCACTTGTGTTTTAAAGTGAGTTTGATTTACAATTTGCAAAAAATACATTTGTAAAACTAAATTTTGAATAAAAGTTGAATAGAATTTATATTTGGATACAATTTTTAAATTGTCAGTGAATTATAAGTTGTTTGAATAATATGAAAATTGAGGGTTATAAGAAACTATTTGTCACTAAAATGTTAAAATGACTTGTTTGAATGATGGAATATGGGCTCCTTGTTTTGAAAATGAGCTTTCAAAAAACTAGATATTTCTATGTAAACAAGGGTTTAGTGTTAATGATGGAGTATTTGTAAATATACATTACTAGAAAGGCTTTATCATATCTATCAATTGAGTTCATGTGACTTTGGGCAAAAAAAAAAAAAAGAGTACATGTGGCGAACAAATGAAATATGTAATCAGACAGGCTTAGAAATAGTAAATATACATTTAGATCATCATTACCTTGTTGTCTAACTGTAGAGCTTAGCATTCTCATCACGTGCTGCAAACATTTAGATATATGTATTAATAACTTGAAATGAAAATTAACAACTGGAATGTTGAAATTGAATAGCAAGAAATCTAAAAAAAAATGTTGTACCATTAGTAATTCGTTCAAAGAATGATATGATTTCGGAATGTTATCATTGTCATGGATTAGGATTTTAAGACCCTCCATGCTTCTAACTCTTGAAAAAGAAATATAGAGTTGTCACAACATCTTGAAAATTAACTAAGGATTAACTTAAATAGGGATAAATTAGTAATTTAGAAAGTAACTGAGATTAGAAGTGATTATGGCTGACTAATGGACTTGATGAACCTATTGACAGCACTGAATTGGGTCTAAAGGATCTATTGGATCATGTTGGGCCCAATTCGATGATGCAACCTACAAATTAGGCTTTCTTGTTCAATTTCTAGACTTAAGTGGCTCTCGAAAATCTGAACAAGGGAGAACAAAGGAGAGACCGGTTTGCTCCGCCAGAGCTTGCCTTGTTTGGCCATTAGGAGAGGGTTGAAATTAAAAAGGAAATTATATTTGCAAGTTCTTATAATTTTACTTAATTTTAAATTAGATCTCTATAATTTATTTTATTTCAACTGGGCCATTATAATTTAATCAGTTAAAATTTTTAATTCCTAAAAGTTAAAATCATTATATTTTTCCTTTTGAAAAAAAAAATTAAACACTTTTATATTTTTATTAAATGGTTTTAGAATTAATTGCATAATTTTTATAACTCAATTTATATAATTAGTTTGTCTTCTAAATTTTTTTATACATGTAGAATTTTTATAAAAAATTATAATAAAAATATAAACAGTGAATTAAATAGGAAATTAAATTAAATTTTCCGCAAACTCTAAGAGTATTTTTGTTTTTTAATATTTAATAATTCATTATTAATTTTAACCTTCAGGGGTTAATATATATATAATAAATGAAATTACAAGAATTTGATTAAAATAAAATAAATAATAGGAACCTAATTTAAAATTGAATGAAATTATAAAGACATGTAAATGTATTTTCCCAAACTAGAAATCATGTTGGTAAGCCTCTCAAACTGTTTCCTCTCCCTCTTTATGCGTTTTTCTGTCAAGGTTTGAAGAGAAGTCTAAAAATGGGAAGGTTTTGATCGAACCTAATGGATTAAATGGGGTGGTTAGAATGTTATATATTTTAATTTCTAGACTAGGGAGTAAAATAGGATGGTTGGAATATTGCACATGTCAGAACCTACATGGCAATCAAAAGAGGAAAAACAATGTTCAATTGTTACCACAAAATTAATCATATTCTATCATGGTAATAAAAAATAAGGTTAAATATTAATTTAAACTCTGAACTATAAGTCCAAGAACTATTTAAATCCTAAACTTTAAAAAGATACATTCTAAACCTTAAATAGTTAAAGTTGAAATAATTTGACCCTTATTGTTAACTTTCAACAAACATTCATTAAATTTATTTGAAAAAAATTACACTTCAGACCCCAATTTAACAAAAGTTTGTTTAGAATTCAAAATGCACCTTTTTAAAAGTTTAAGATTCAAATCACCCCTGAATCTATAGTTTAGGGTCCAAATTGCATATTAATCCTTGATAATGTTTCAAATTTTATAAGATATAAGAAGAAGGAATTAAAAAAAGGTAAATAATGATGATGATGATAATGAAACTATATAAAAGAAGGTTGTAAATTGCAATAATGAGTAGAGAAGTTTTTGGTGGAGATCATGATGGGTATGAATAAGACAGTGTTAAGTTGACTATTTTTATTCATGTTGGGGGGTTTCGATAGGCAATCAGTGGCAGTAATATGAGTGTAACATAATATTTCGCTATAAGCTCACTTTCATATTTTTTTCTATTTATACTTTGACGTAATGGAATCTCATAATAATATCGGTGAAAAAAAAAATATTATCATTCTTTGTTAGGAAAAAATCTAAAATAAATTCCTCTTCATACGCTTTTTTTTTCTATCACTTTATTTATCATAAAGGCATTTGGTTTTGTTTTATAATTTTTCACATTCATCGATCAATTGAAACCAAGAAACTTACACAATCCTTCAAAATCTTTTTTAAAAATTGATATAACGTGCAAAATATGTTTTTTTTTGTTACTATTGAATTATTATTGATTAAAGTGTATTTTTTAAAATACAAAAGGGTTAATATACAATTTTGACCTGAACTATAGGTCCAAAGATGATTTGAACCCTCCACTTTTAAAAAGGTGCATTTTGAATTTTAAATAATTAAATCACTTCCTTTCTTTGAATCATCTTTTTTTTGACCTCCCCTTTCCATTTCTATTATCTTCTTATTTATAGAAGAAGAATCTGAACCTTACCTCAAATCATAGCCGAAATCGCATCTCTCTCAGGCTTAGTTACAAGCTCTATTACATGTTTGCTCCATCACATGGCATCGACATCCCTTTGCAGTGGCACCCTCTTCTATGTCAAACTTTGAGTTTTTTCCTTCCATGGCCAAGCCCCACCTTCCATTAATGAAAGCAGTGCAGAATATCTCCTTCTTGCTAGAAGCATATATACCAAGAAAATGGACAAACCATTTGCATATATGACTCGTCTCTCACCATGTGCTTGCCTCATCTAGGACACCTAAAGGACTGTTGGAGTTACCAGCGTTTTAACCTAACCTTCCTCTCTCTCTTTTCCGTTCAAGTATATTTGCTAAATTTTTATGATATCTTTTCATTTGTCTCGGTTTATTATTATTGTTTTTTTCAGCTTTGTTTTTTTAGGTGTAAATAATATATATATATATATATATAAAGGGAAACAATCAGATCTAAAAAAAATCAAAAGGATTTATTTTTTTAAAAAAATTGATTCTGACCATTTTTTGATTGTTCAAATAATTTGGTGAAAATATTTTTAAAAAATTTAAGCAATATTTTCTCCTCTATTTTAAAAAAAATAAAAAGGATTTAATTTTTAAAAATTTAATTCCCATAATTTTCTGATTTTTGGGATAATTTAATGAAAATATTTTAAAATATTTAAGCAATATTTTCTCTTCTATTTTTAAAATTAATTATGAAGACCAATTAGATTTATTTATTTTTTTGTTTAAAAAATAATCCTTAAAAAGGATAAACTTTCATTTTTATATTTATATTTTTTGAAATATATGTGTTTCATAGAGAGAATCAATATTTCCTTTTTTATTTTAACTTTTTTTTTGAAAATTAACGCTTAAAAAAGAAATAAATTTTCATTTTCATATTTTTTTATTTTTGGTTGTTTTAACTAGCTAAAAAAATAAAATTCTTGCCAATAGGATAAGGTTAAAATAAAATCAAACCCTATTAAAATTTTTATTATCTTTTCATTTTATCTATATTATTAAGTTTCATAATAGAAAAAGCTTTTTCTACCATTGTTGTGGTAACTGGTAATATCATTCTTAACTTCAAGAGAATATAAAGTTTATTACAACCTAAACATCTTTAAAGTTGGACTAAGGGGTGCAAAATATTTGGATCAAAAGGTGCAAAATATTAGAATATATAAACTCTCTTTGTAATTTTTTCCAAGTTCAGGGGCTACATTTGTCCCCACCCCCAAAATCTATATAGTGCTGCCTATGTTAATGTCCCTTATGATAGGGTGTTGACCTTAGGTTTGGGACTGAATGAGAGTTAGAGGACTTGAATTAAGTGGGGTAAACTGTGACACTTGCCTAGATAAGTAGGTGAGCACGTTGGGATGAGAAAAACAAGACTTGTTGAGGTGAGCAAGACGTCTCCCTGAGGCAAGTAGTGCATTTAGGGAAAATTAGAAATAGATGTCTCAACTAAAAACCAAAACCAAAAATCACTTTCAAACATTCCAGAGGTGCAATTTCTAAGTCCTTTTTACTAGGGTTAGCCTCCAATGACCTAAGGAGCCCCAATTGAGTTAGATTTCATCAAGGTAAGTCCT